GTGGCTCAACCCCGGAACCTCCGGAGAGAGCTCCAGCTGGAGCTCTGTTCCCTGCCAGTGACCCTGTGTGGGCAAAATCCCAGACTCGCAAATGACCCCAAACCGAGACTCCTGGGAATGGAAAAACACTTCACTCAGCCTCAGGAAACAAGAGCAAAGGACTGACATGTCGGTGACATATCTCGATACACAAGTGCCTACTGCACCCCTGCCCCTGCCCCCCACTCCAGAGGGCCTGGGCAGCTCTGACCCCGGCTGGTGTCCACTTCTCAGGGGTGATTCCCCAGGGTTTCAGTGGTTTCATGCTACAGAAATAGCTGCCTGGTCCTCTCCTGGAGGAGCAAGGTTCATTCTCTGTCTAGCATTTGCTGGAGAAAATGAGGATTTGGACAAAGATTTGGTTAAAATATGGTATTGTATATAGAGTATGAGATCATCAAGATCGAGGTTAAGAAAGAAGAGGATGCTTAGAAAAGAGAAGGGAAGGAAATACTCGTGGTTGTTGCCTCCACCGGGATGAGGAGTAAGAGTAAGGGTGACTTTTTTCCTTCCCTAGTAAACTGTCCAATTGTTTTTCACAATGATCGGAGATTACTGTTTCAGTCAACAGGGAGGGAGCCCAACCTCTTTCTCACCCCCAGACAAGCAGGGTACTGATTGCCGGGACCAGGTCCCAACTCTCCCCACTGGCTGCCACGCCTCAGAGATAAGAATCTACAAGACTCCACAGTCCCCACAGTGAGAAAAGAAAGCGGACCTGTTAACACACACTTTGCAGGGCACAGAAAGCTTAGCTTCCTGCCCTGAGGGCCCCCAAAGGCTGAGAAGCCAGGAGGCTGAGCAAAAGAGAGTAGTCAGTGAGCTTTCTCTTCAGGCCTGGCCAAGGAGGTTGCTGGAAACTGGGTCAGTCTATGCCCTCCAGACCTCCACTAGATTCAACCGTGTCCCAGGAGAGAGGCCTCAGGGTGTCACTTGCAGGGACACAAACCCCAGTGACCTGCCCTACCTAGCCTCGTCACTCTTTCTCTTCACAGGAGTGACTAGCCCCATTGGCAGCACATGGATACCTGCTCCTCTCATGGCCAGGTCTCTTCTCCTGAAAGACACAATGCTGAGCATTTCCCCAGGGACCCCAACAGACTTCAGACTCACCCCAAAGGGTATTGCGACTACTATCGCAGGATGGCCCTCGCCCAGCTCACACGGATGGGGCCCTGCTTCTTCCTCTTTAGAGAAGACTCAACTCTAAGCTTCCATCTCTCCCTCTTGTTCTTAGTCTCTAACATACAGGAAGTCTTTCCTCCTGTCTAACCTCCACTCCCTCCATAAGAGCATCAGTCTCAAGCATTCTTGTGTCCTCAGAAGTGACATAAAACAGCGCACCCCTCACCCTCTTTATAAATAACAGCCAGGGCTGAATTCATTCTCTTTCCTCTGTCACATCAAGTCTCTTCAGCCTTTTCTTTTCCAGGATCAATAATCCATCCCCCCATGCCTAGAGTCCCCCTCCTGCTGAGATCTGAAAGCCCAGTGCTGAGAGGCTCAGATAGAGACTCTATTTCCCAGGACCATTCTGGTATCAGATGCTCAGTTGGCAGAGTGCCAGAACCAGACAGGTCTTAAAGGACGGAGACACCAGCCCCTCCTGCAAGGACCAAAGCTCTGGCTGACCCCACCCTCATCACCAGAAAGGCCTTCCCAGCTGCAGAAAACCCCTACTGCCAGCCCCCAGTCTCCAGGGCTCCCACAGAGGGGAGAGCCTGCTCCCCACCCAAGAGCAGTCTGGCAGCACTGTCAGGTGAAATCCAGCAGGACACTGGCCCTGTCCTAAATCTCTCCAGGGAGCAGCACCCCCCACCCCCTCTTATCTTGGCAGAGGTCCAGCCCCCAGCAAAGCAGGCAACTCCCACTTCCTATACAGAGACAGGCCCAGAACAGCCCATGGTTCTGGCCAGCTCAAGCTGGGAGGCAGCAGCAGCTTTGACCCCTGCCCTCTTCTCCCCACTTCCCAACCTCCTCCACACACATCCACCACAGCCCCTGGAGAGCCTCCTCCACCAGGAGCTAAAAACCAAGCCATAGGGGAGGTTTCAGAGGACTAGAGACTAAGACATGAGTCACCCCCACCAGACAAACCTGCCCCCACCTTCATCACCCACACATGCCTTCCCGGGCCCTTCTGAATTCTCTTCTCCCCAAACTCCAGAGCAGAAGCTCTCAAAAAGGAGTGGCAGAAAAACTTCCCAAAGCCACAGTGGGGTGATACAGCAGAATAGGCTCTGGGGCTTGGAGCCAGAGGACCCGAATGCCAGTCCTGGCCCTGCCTGGGTCTCACTGTGCAATCTTGGGCAAGTTACCTAACCTCCCTGAGTTTCAATTGCCTCATCTGTTGAATGGAATGACAGCTGCCTTCAGGGACAGTCATAAGGATTAAGTGAGAACAGTTAAGGAAAGTGCTATCTGTAGAGTCCCCCCTTACTTAGGATACCATTTATCAAGTACTTATTGGGAGGTAGGTAGGTATTATTATTCCCATTTTGCAGAGGAAGTCACTGAGGCTCAGTGAGGTGAAATGATTTGGCCAAGCCACAGAGTGACAGAGCTGGGAATCAAATCCAAATCCCTGTGCTGACAACTGCCCCACTATAACCTCTCCCAATAAACAGCCCTTCTGTTGACCAGTCTATTGCTCCATCTCATTCTAAGGTGGCTCCTCTCCTGGATCCCTCCCAGGCCAGGGAGTGACCCCCTCGTTGGTACCTTCCCCATGGGTCTCCAAGAGAGAAGCAGGAAGCAGCCTTGACAACTCAAACAGGTACCAAAGAGAATGGGGTGAAGCTGGGGATGGTGGTGGGGGGTGGGGCAGACTGGAGAAGGCTCATGTCGCCCAAGCTGGGGCTTGATCTAGCAAGAAATGACTAACTGTGTACTACCCCCCACATCCAGTAAGCAGCCAGTTTTCACCAGGCACCTCCTAGAAATCCTTCCTCAGTATTATCTTTTTATCACAGCCACAAACCAGATTAGCTAAAATAATCATTTAACCAACGTAATTACAATGCCTTCCCCTCCTCCACTCTGGCACGGAGAAGAGGGAAAACAGGTTATTTTGGCCCAAACTCCATTCCCTTATGGCTACCCAGAGGTACACTGCCCACAAGAGCTGAAGAGGGATGGAGAGGGAGCCTGATCCCTGCAGGTGAGAGGCACTCATGGGGTTCTGACCCCCAACCCTACTCTCCCATCTACAAACACAAACCATATGGTAAGGTCTTCCCAAGTGAGTCAGGGCAAGCAGCTTGCCCCCAATCTTCCCTTCACTACAGGTCTGAAGGAGAACCTGGCTCTACATTCCTCCTCTATTCTCCAAAGACGCTGACCTCCAAGTCCCTGCAAAGACCACGCTTCAGATTTTTAAAAATCAGTGCTGGAAGCCTGGTGGAGATCCCCAACTTTAGCCAGGCGAGGGGATCTCGGAAAAATTCAGCTCTGCCTGAAACCTTCCCCCAAAAGTCTTCCTT